TTTCTACTATATGTATGCATGTACCCCCCTAGTAAATAGTTCCCCCAGCTATAATATAAACAGTCTTCAGCCCTCCAAAAACCTTTTCCAGGATGTCTATCGCATCCCACTTGTCTGCTGCTCCTAAGAACAGAGTAACAGGCACTCCCAGAGATGCCTTGGTATAACACCCAATGAATCATGTGATGAACGATTGACCCTTGCTAATGCCTCCTCTGTTAAGTAGTGAGGGGGGGGGCCTCTGGCCCCCTTCTGCTGGCGGTGTTAGAATGGGCGGATTCAGATGACTCCGGAGTGGAATCGGAGACTTAGCGTGGAAGGACCTTGGCCTCAGCGACTCAAGCAGAGCGCTGTGCCATTGCTGTTTGTCCATTTGGTCCTTAATTTCACAGTAGGCGAGCAGGAAGTCTCTAGGGGGCATTTCAGGTCGATTTCGGACTGAGCCTCCAATGAGTATGTACAAGTGCCAATATATATAATGGGGGGGCAAAAGCACAAGGAAACAAAGGGGAACCGAATCAGAACGAAGGCATCTGAACGGGAACAAAGGGATGACAGAAGCGGAGTGGTACTGTTATAAAAATGGGGCCTAATTGGCCCATTTCTATAGCGTCCAGGTGCAGGAGGGGGCCGTGACATTGAGAAGCTGTTACAATTAATGTAACAGATGTTGTAACAGTGGGGTTTACAATACTGTACAGAGGCCATAAGAGGCTAAAAATGGGAATTTCCCATTTCCATAACATCGCCCCCCAGGCTCTTATGGTCTCTGTGCAGGACATCAACAAGAGAAAGAAAAGAAAAGAAAAGAAAGAAAGGTTGTGAGAAGCCCCACAATACAGAAAAATTCCCTTGGCCAGCACCAAAACCCGGTGGGAAAGCTTGGCACAAGGTTTAGATTAAGAAATAAATTTTATGAAAAATTTTAAGAAAATGTAAAAAAAAAGAAGGAAAAAGAGAAAAAAAAAAGAGGGTCCCAGCCCCCCAGACTCCAATGGGCCACCCAGCAGCCCCCCACAGTCCAGCCCCCAGGGCCCTAACAGTGGACTTGGGGTGGTGGCTCACCCGGTGGACGCAGCAGGCCAGGGAGATTGGGAGGGGGAAGCGGGAATGGGTCCGTGCACGGCTGGATGGGTGCCAGACTCACCCATTTCGACAGTGGATGCGACCGAGGGGGGCCAGGATGCGTCTGTCGTGGTACTGGATGCGGTGGAGTCGATAGACGCGCCAGATTTGGCACGGGGGGGTGTGGGGAGGGAGACGGTGACGACGACGACGACGACAGCACGGTTTCAGGGCGCGCTGAAGTCGAAGGGAGAGGTGGGGAGGGGGCCAGACGTGGTTGGAGGGGCGAGTGGTGCGTTGGGAACGATGCGCGCATCGTAATCGGGTGCGAGTTCCATGGGATTGGTGGTGGAATGGCCAGGCGTGAATGCCATGGAATCGACGGTGGGACGGCCGGACACGGTCGTAGTGGGGCCGTTGGACGACGCAGAGAGGTGGTGGGAGAGGGAGGTGGGGCTGCCAGGCGCGACTGGGCAGAAACCGTTCGCGTCGATCCGAGAATGGATCGCGTCGCAGTGGGCTGACGTGTCATTTCCTGGTGTCGACGCGACGATGGAGGGAGGGGAGCTGGGCTGGGAGGGTGTACTGGGCTGGGCTGGGTTGTTTGGGCTCGGATCGGGTTGGGGGAATGGCCCGGCTGCTGGGACGCAACGATTGCCTTCTGCGCGCTGTAGGAGAAATAACGGCCACACTATGGAAACCCATTATGAAAATATGCCAGATAAATCACAAAACCTCATACGACAAGTAGATATGAGAACATAGAAGGACCTGAATTTTAACGAATTTTACGAATTTTTACGAATTATTACGACTATACACGATAAATCGAAAGAAAGAAAAATAACAAAAATACTTCAAGCTTACCATCAACGAGACGGAATTCTCGGGGGAATTTATAGCAAATATTAAACCAAGAATTAGGACAATCGACCAAGATTTGACTATAAAAATAATCAGAGAACCTCCACGGAAACTACTTTCCCACGTCCGCACACATAGCAAGGATGGAAGTACCACGGAACAAAGATTCCTCAGGAACTAATGCAAAAGTCAAAGTCGTGTTTATAATAGGAAATGTAGATGTCACCCAAACGGAACCAATGAGAGTAATTATAGGGGAAACTACCCATAAACGACAGAGATATGACTAAAACTCCTGCAAAACGAGGACAATGTCTAAAAAGCAAGCGCGAAGATTAACTAGTAACGACCGAGACAAGCTTGATAGCCCATTAGAAAGGAAAGGATCTACTCTTAATCCTCCCAAATTTCCATAATAAAAGGATCATGCGTTAATGAGAAATCCAATAACGGGAATAGCGACATCAAAAGTCCGAGCTCAGGGACAAGACGATGATTGCGTAGGATCCATAATTAAAACATACAACGAAATTTACACGGAAATTATGAAAAATAGGAAACTATAGTTATGCAAATTCTCAGCCCAAACGGTCCAGCCGTTGTGAAGTTATACCCATGACAGGAATATAGGAATCCGCATCATGTGTAATGACATGTGAGGGTGGCGATGCGCAGGGAACCAGCCGTCGGAACCGAGATCCGCACTTCGGCAGATCGCGAAGACCAATTTCCGTCCAAATAAGGAAGAGCCCGGTCAAAACAAAGCACGAAAGGTGCAAAACAACCTTAGATCATGAGGGAAAAATCTGAAATAAATCACAGAAGCCCATATGAAAGAAATAAACACCCGCGCATATCATAAATCCCGAACAACTAAACGAAAACGGCTCCCGCATACGAACAACTATGGGAACGACGCACGTGATTACCGAATGTGCGCGCGAAACTTTGCTAACTCAACGAATACAGGGAAATAGGACACAACCTTAGTACCATTGGAAAGGTGGGAATAAATGGAAATTTATGATACCAAGAACGTGAGAAAACATCCAGAAATGAATGAGATACAAGGACATGAAGTTAGAAACCTGAAAACACGCGGGAAGACAGCTTCAAGAGGTCTAGAGCCCTAAATAAAATACATAAAAATATGATATCTTCGAGGACGACCTACTATAACAACGAACAATACATATGGAGGATTAGGATGTGATAATACAAAGGGGAATCAGGGAATATGAACGAAATTCACGAAAACTACTAAACTACGACGGACCATGGCGGGAATTTTAGGGAACGATGTTCTAATGAAGTAGAGAGCTATAACACATTCGTTTGAGTAATTCTTGATTACTAGCAACTTTTTCTTTCAGTTTTAAACCTGAATAATTCACTCATTTATCATTTCAGTCTCATTTTAACTAAAATGTCACTAAATAAAATTGGAATAAATCAGCTGAAGGTCTCAGCACAGTCGCACGCATAGTAATGCGAGGTTTGAATTCAGTATGACCGAGTCATAGCGAACTTAATGGGAAATATGGGGAATTTGAAATAGGGAACTGCGGCAAATGTGGCGCAGACAAATTCTAATTAACCATTAAAATAGCTTAGGCGAGGAAGGACAATAAGGATTCCAGGCGCAGTCTGACCGCAGTAGACCGCAGTTCAGCGCAGCAAAGCGCAGCGGAACTATAGCGTGAAAATTTCACTTTTTATTCAGTTTGAGAAAAATACACTGTAAATAAATCCTGTAAATAGAAGGTAGAGCGTGAAAAAGGAAGGCGACCCAAGGAGTATAAAAGGGAGACCCTTTCTGCGACCTTTCGCCCCCCCCAGAGAAGTAAGAAAATAGAGTATTATTTTTCTCAAGCATTTCTGGTTGTCACTCCAGTGCGAAAAAGTGATATACAGTTAAGATTGCCACTGTAGTAAAAGGCAGCAATTAAGGAGAGAAATATTAAGTAGATATTTCAACAGGAGAGCTGGTTAACACTCCAGATTTCAAAGTGTAAACACAAAACAGTTATTTTGCTACTGTTAAAACAAGCGATAAAATAAAGACAAAAATAAAACGAACTAAAGGGACACTCCAGACACCATCCAAATTCATTAACTGAATAGAATCTTTGAAACTTCACCAAGTAGAAGATTAAATTCAAGTTTAAATCCAAATTAAACAACGCTACACAGAATTACACCTAGACAAATTAATAAATTTCAATAAAGAAACAGCTCCGCAGGGCTCGGTTTATCTGTAAGTCAATTCCCAGGAACTTTAAAACTAACCCATAAAAATAGAATTAGCCAAAACACTCGGATTGGTACTATATTTACAATAAACAACACTAGTACACTTCCCCATCCTAACTAAAGAACCAGGGAACAGCTTGGTGGTGGTCTCGTTTGAACCTCCCAACTGACCTTCCTTCGTTCTCTCCTTCAGCGCGTTCCAGATGTAAAATAAAATCAGTAAATTTCATTTTTAAAACACTCCAAGCTGAAGCATCGTTGCCAGTAAGTAAATTAGGGCATGGATGTGTAACTTGGCACAGTGCTCCTGGTCTGAGTTGCTGAGGCCAAAGCCCTCTGCGACGGAGACAACTCCTTCATCTCGCTTCTGGTCTCTAACACCATCCAATTCCCCAGAGCTATTATAAGAGATGGAAACTTATTTCTGAACCTGTCCTGGAAGCAACACCAGACACCGCAGGAAATTTGCTGCGAGAAAGTGTAGTTGAATGTGAGTATGGGGCCTCAGAGACTGACCAGATACTTTGTGATGATGATTACAACTTTGTGTGAGTTTTTGCTCTGGGATCAAACAATGGCTTTACATTGTTGTTTGCTACCAGTAATCAACAAAGTGACAATCAGAATGATGCCAAACCATACAGTGATGATGGGTCAGAAGACTTTGCAGGTTCCAGCCGAACATCTCTAGACAAATGGATGGAAGCTGTTGAGAGATATAAGGCAGATGCAACTTCGTGACAATATAACCAATTTTGTGTGCCTTATTTCCTTGAATTTTTATTGCCTGTCAAACCTGCCATCCAGATAACCAACCCCTCTCAGACTTGGACTACAAGAACCTCAAGATGTTCGATGTTCTGATCCACAGCAACATTTCCAGCTCAACATACAACATCATTCAGTCACACTTTGAAGAACTTCAACTGAAATCACTGTATCAACTTCACTTGAACATGTCAAGGCTCTCTGTCAGGGCATGCCCTGCCCAACCCCACTCTGCTACCCCCACTCCACATCGCTCTCCCTTTCTTCCTTTCCTCCTTCTCTGCCTTCCTTCTTTCTCTCTTTCTTTCTCTTACATGGACCACCTTTCCTGCTGTTCAATGTATCACCAGCACACACGCCACATCCCCCTTCTGTACTTACCATTCCAATATTGCCATCACCACCACTGCACTCACCTTGCACCTACAGCAGACCCTCTCAGGATCTCCCATGGAAACACCCGGAGAGCCATGGCTGTGTGCAAGGGTGATGTGGTGCACCCCACATGACCCACCCTGCATATATAATAACAGCTGAAGTGGGAACCAAAGAAGTAGCCTTCTTCTCACATTCCCACTTCAGACTAAGTGGTTGGGGATGCTCACTCCATGATGGGACCGCCACTATGCATAGCCACTACTCATCCCATCGAGTCCCCCCCCCATGCTGGGACCTTGCCACTTTTGGAGCTGTCCCTGACACTCTCTCACATCATAGAGTACTCATATGACTGTTGCATCAACAGTTGTTGCTGTTTTTCATCTGAACTTCCCAACCTTCATGCTTGTCCACACTGCAGTCAACCACGCTTCAGACCAAATACCTGTGTTCCCCTCAACACTTTCCATTATCTCCCAATAGGGCCTTGCCTCAAGGCCCTTTATCTGAACTGACACTTTGCTAAACTACTAAAGTATCGTGGGACTCTGGACCTGGGCACTGTTATAGAGCATGTAATTGTCTGGAAGCGGAGAAGGGACTCTGGAAGGAGGGACCTTGGCCTCAGCGACTCAAGTGGAGCACTGTGCCATTGGCTTGTTGTCTAAGGTGGTCCTTAATTTCAGGTTAACAGGGGGAGTCTCTTGGGGGGGACAATCCAGTCGATTCTGGTTCTCTAGTCATCGATTTCAGACTAGGGGTACAGGAAACTATGTACAGAGTGTATATATAATAATACAGGAGTGGAGTCAGAGGACAAATAGAACCCAAAGGGAACAAAGGGAACTGGAAGGAGACAAAGGGAGACTGGATGAGGGAACAATCCCAAGGGTCAAGGGTTGGAACTCTATGGTGCTTCCCAAAAGGGCAGGGCCAAGAGGGGAAGGAGTGGAGTGGGTTGTGGGGAATGACACCTGACTAATATGGAAAGGAAGCATCCATCTAAATAAGGAAGAAGCAACAAGAGGATTAAATGACACCATACAGTAGAGACTGCAGGGTCCGGAGTCAGAAGTCAAAGTCCGGAATATTGGCTAGACATAATAAATGAAATGCAATAAGGAATACAAGGAGATAAGATGGAGGAGGTCAAAGTCCGGGGGCAGAGATGTGACTGGAGTTCCAGAGGTGGAGGTGCAATGGGGTTCCGGTGCAGGAGTCCGGAGCCAGAGGTGTGGAGCATCACAAGCTCTGGTCTGGAAGGTACAAGGTTGGGATTGGACCTGGAGTAAACTGGAGTTGGACTGGAGGTAGTGTTGGATGTTGTGTTGGAGCCAGAGGTGGAGTGGGCTCTCAACAACCAACAGGGGGAGGTGGAGGTGGAGGATGTGAAGTTCTGGAGGAGGAGATGGAGGTCCAGAAACAGGAGTGGAGGTCCGGAGTTGTATGGATATGACAGGCACGGCAACTATTGACGATGTCTTTCACAGGGCTCACTATCTTGGTCTACTGCAACAACAGGTCAAAATAGATGGGCAGCAACACCAGCACCGCTTCTTTAGCGACCATCACGATGTTTCCCTGGGCATCATGATGGATGGATTTCAGCTATTCAAGTACCAGCATGATGGCAGCACAACTTTCTGGCCTATCATTGCAACCAAAGGCATGGAAAGACTTTAATTCCTTCCTACGGCCACTTGTTGATGACTGAAAGCAACTGGCACAAGGAGAGTGGGCATTGGACATAGCTTCGAATGAGACTTTCAAGCTGCATGCCTACCCAATTTCTTGCCATGGTGATATGATGCTATGAAGCACTTAATGAACTTTAAGGGCCCTAATGGCATCTTTCCTTGTCCGGTTTGCCACATCAAGGGTACTAGGAACCTTGATGGCACAACAACTCACTATGTTCCTCATGGGCCTCCTCATGACCAGCCCCGAGTCTGCAATACATACTGGGATACTTCAGGTGGCTTGCTTCATTCTGAGTCTGACTACTGGCACACCCTCTCAGAAATCACTTCCCTTCCAGAGGCTCGAAATCGAAGCTTTCCCATATTCAACAACTGTCAGGGACGCGACCCCGGGTCCCCATGACCCCTCTCTACAGTCCACAGTCTAGCCTGTAAACACAGCCCATCTCAGGGCATAACTACTGTGGGTAAGAAAGTGTATAGATAAATGAAGAGTAGGCTACACTTGCCTACTGTGGGTAAGAAAGTGAGAAGAAGGTTAACTTCTCACTTTCCCACAGTGGCCCCAATATGGCGAAAACTTCCGGGGATACCCGGAAGTCACATGAGGTGGGATCATGCGGCGCGCGGAGCGTGCGGTGCAGGAAGTGCGCGGGAAGTGGAGCGGGTCCGGACACGGGTCCGGGTCCGGGCTAAGTCAGGGTATGTGCCCTGACAACAACAGTCCAGTATCAATGGGAACTGTGTACTAATTGAGCTCCCATCTATTTCGATATCTTCCTCTTTCCCCCATGACTGGATGCACCTGTGCTTAGAAAATCACTCAAAAAACTTAGTCACACTATGGGAAGGAAAATATAAAGGGTTGGACGAAGGAAGTGAAAGCTATTGTATCTGTCACAAATGTCTTTCCTTGAAGGATAGGTTGATCGCCATCCAGGTGATGCTGTCGGGTGGAGCTCAGTGTTCCAGGTCATCCGATGGTGGGTCGGAGACAGACTGGAGGTGGGGCAGAGCTCCAAGGGTGACAGGGTGTTGAAGGGACTCGGCTTCAGCGACTCAGAATGGAGCGCTGCACCTGGTATGTTCTTGTTGTCCCCATTTGTCAGGGGAGCTGGCAACAGAGGAACTGAGGCTGCCAGCAGGAGGCCCCCCCCCTCACTACTTAACAGAGGAGGTGTTAGTGAGGGTCAATCATTTGTCACGCAATTTGTTGGGTGTTATACCAGGGCGTCTCTGGGAGTGCCTGTTACTCTGTTCTTAGGAGCAGCAGACGAGTGGGATGCAATAGACGTCCTGGAAGAGGTTTTTGGAGGGCTGAAGACTGTTTATATTATAACTGGGGGAACTATTTACTAGGGGGGTATGTGCATACATATAGTAGAAATAATTGGATCTGAAGGTAAACAAAGGTTACCAAGGGGAAGGGGAAGTAAATAGAAAAGGAATCCACAAGACAAATAGGGAATAGGCAAAAAGCCCGAATTACGTCTGAGGTTTGTGGAGTGAGAGAATTAAAAGCCAACTGAATGGCAAGGTCTGGAAGTGTCTATGAACAAGCAGGGAACTACAGAGAAAGATGTCCGGAAAGGTCCGGAGCCCGGAAGTTGTAGTCCAGAAGATTGGGGTTGTAGAAAATATCAAATGATAAAACAATAAGATTATCAAGACTGGAGGTAATATAGGAATGAGGAGGTACTGGAGGTGTGGAGACTGGAGGTTGGAAGGAGAGTGGATAGGCAAGTTGAGATTCATCAACAACAAGCAAGCCCAACTCCTTTGAACAAGGTGTCTGAGGAGGTGGTGGTATGGTGGTGGAGGTCCAGAGGTGATGTGGATGTAGGTGGGTGGCAGAGTGAGAGAGAGTCGGAGTAGGAGGTAGTCCTAGGGTCGTTGGCATCGACCGGAGGCAGTGGAGAGAGATTGGGAGGGCTGGTGGAGGTCATAGGAGTCGTGTATGGATAAAGTGGAGGGAGATGGAAGATCCGGGATATGACTGTATCCCAGACAATGTCTGGGAAATAATTGGAAAAGAAACAGCTCTGGCTGGCAATACAATACCTTCATCTTTTGGACACCATACCCCCAACATCTGGAGTGAAAAACATCTTTTCACAGCTGAAGATTGGGCTTTCTAGATGGTCCACATCGCACTGTATGTCCTCAGAAACCGCTTCAACCATCCCAAGTACTACAAACATTTCATGAAATTTAACTCAATCCTTAAATGCACGATCCAATATTCTTTCATGGAGCAAGATCTGGATGAGCTTGAGCAGGACATTGTTGAGTATGTGAAAGAATATGAAATGTCAGTTCTCTCATTGTTTAAGTTGCATGCATGACATATTTGCTTTTCCAGTATTTACTACCAGTTCTCCGCACAATGACAGTCTACCTGCCCCCTCACACTACATGCACTTCTTCATATCCCATACGACATCCGAAACAATGGGCCACCATGTCACAATTGGACCTTTATCATGGAGCGGTGGTGTGTGTCACAGCCATGCATTCCGGCCCGTTAGCCACCCATCCTGATGCCGCCCGAGCCCATTCCTGCTATGCGAGCGTGAGCGCGAGCCCTGACCTCAGCCCTATCCTCCCTGAGGACTCCCTGCTCACTCCCCTGCTTGCCCCTAGGCTCCCCTGCACCTGGCCGACTCCCCCACAGTCACACCAACCTTCCTGCCCTGAGTCCGCCTCCAGCACCGTGCCCAGCGCAACTCCCCTACCCTGCCCACTTGGCCCCTACAGGGCCGCTACCATTCCCGCGCCCAACTCCGGCCCAACTCCGAGTCCAGCGCCGCTATGATACCATCGCCGCTATTGTGGCCCTATGCTCTTTCCTTTATTTATCTGTTATTGTTTGTTTTGACCCTCAGTCATTGCCAGCCGCTATGCGACCAACCCCACTCCTTATTCTTGTTTGCTTCCGGACCCTTCGGCCTCCGGCCCGGGTCCGCTTCCATTCATTTCTTCCTCCTATATATATCCTGTATGACATTTATTGTACCTTAGCTCTAATATCAATGTGACCACGACCCCTAAGTCCTGACCCCAACAAGGCAACCCCAGTGAGTCTGAAATGAGGGCCAAGAGACAACTAGGGGGCACAGCGCTCCTTTAGAGTCGCTGGGGCCAAATGCCCTACCCTCGGGCCTTGTCTAAGGCATCACAGGCATCGCAGCCTATAGTGGCCCGCATCGGCGACCTTTGGTGCCGACCCCGGACCAGTGTCTAACAGTGTGGCTCACTTTTACCTGCCATCAAGTCTTGAAAGGAGCCGTTCACATGCCTTGTGTTAGAACTTGCGGATTTGGACGACTCCGGAGTGGAATCGGAGACTTAGCGTGTGTTAGACACTGGTCCGGGGTCGGCACCGAAGGTCGCCTATGCGGGCCGCTATAGGCCGCGATGGCCGTGATGCCGCGAACAAGGCCCGAGGGTAGGGCATTTGGCCTCAGCAACTCTAAAGGGAGTGCTGTGCCCCCTAGCTGTCTCTTGGCCCTCATTTTGGACTCACTGGGGTTGCCTTGTTGGGGTCAGGACTTAGGGGTCATGGTCACATCGATATTAGAGCTAAGGTACAATAAAGTATCATACAGTATATATATAGGAGGAAGAAATGAATGGAAGCGGACCCGGGCCGGAGGCCGAAGGGTCCGGAAGCAAACAAGAATAAGGAGCGGGGTTGGCTGCATAGCAGCCGGCAATGACCGAGGGTCAAAACAAACAATAACAGCTAAATAAAGGAAAGAGCGTAGGGCCGCGATAGCGGCGATGGTATCGTAGCGGTGCCGGACTCGGAGTTG